CTGGAAAAGCAGAAGTGAAGTCTGGGAACACACTGTCCTCTCACACTCTGCCGTGGCCAGCTGGCCAGCAGGACCCTCCGTGGGCCATGAGGCCATGGGGGAGTCTTGAGCAGGGGCCGCCCTGCCGAGCGCCCTGTGCCAGGGGCTGCCTCTGCCTGCTGAGCCCCTGGGGCAGTGTGTGTCCAACCCCTGGCATGGGCTAAGAACCTCCCTTCCTCTCTCCCCAGGGCCCTTGAGGAGGGGCTGGCAAAGCCACGTGTTACCTGCCCCTGGGAGCCTAGGAGAGGCCGAAAGATCACTTTCAGGGCTGGCAGGATCTAGGAAAGGTTTCAGGAAGTAGGTGGGGGCAGGGCTACCCAGCTGCCACCTCTCAAGGCCTAGCTGGGGCTGGCTGCCAAACCCACATGCCAGACAGTGCTGGCCAGGCTAGGGGTCCCCAGGGCCTCCTGCTAATCAGGGGCTGGGTGGGAAGTCGGGTGCCTGTTGGGGCCAGAGCTCTGTTGCTGAGGGGTTCTGGCCCAGGAGACCTGGGTTGAGTGGAGGGACAGGTGGAAGCTCTGGGGCCAGCTTGCGTTTGTGCAGCCCTAGGAGTGCTGGCGGAGCAGCGTGTCAGGAAGGTGTGGGCTGCAGCCTGCCCAGGCACCTCCGAGAGCTCACCTGGGCCCCGTGCAGGAGGCAAGGCAGTGGTTCTTGCTCTGCAGCCTGGGGGTGTGCCTCCCAACCCAGCCTGACTGGGCCTGAGGAAGCAAACCTGCTTCCTGCTCAAGGGCTTCTTATTAGGGCATCCTGTGCGCACTGGTCACAGGCAGGCTGGATGGCGCAGAGAGAGCTGAGTCAAGCCGAGGCTGAGGCTATGCAAGGGCTGAGGCCGTGGGGCCTCCAGGGTGTGGGGAGGAGGCAGGGCTGCAGCTCAGGCCCTTGGGGCCCCTGGATAAAGGTGACAATGACACGTTGGAGTTGGAGGACTTCACTCTGGTGATGGTGTGGAGCGTGAACTTGGGAGCAGAGAGTCAAGAGGTGGGGCCACCCCAGCAGTGAGGAGGCCCGGAGGGTGTTGGCAGGTAAAATTGGGGAGAAAGCCACCAGAACAGCTGGGACAAGAGACAGTGGGAAGCCAAGCAGTATGGGAAGACCGGGATGAGGGGTGCCGAGGAACAGGCCCACGGCCCCAAGGGGAGGCCGGAGACAATGGGAAGCAGCTCCCTGGGAGGATTTAGGTCAGACTGTAGAGAGAACCTTGAGAGAGCAGCGGCAGCCTCGTGGACATGAGAAATCAGCCTCCAAGGAAGTCTTTTGCTGTGAGACATCCCAAACTGGCCAGACATTCCTGGTGATGGGCCACGGATGGGAGGATTTGGGGTAGACAGCTGGGCTTGCGGGTAGACCAGAGTGGTCCCAGAGCACTCAGAGCTTGTGCCTCAACCCAGGCACGTCTGGGGCTCTTAGGGGCCGTCACCGAGGCTGTCAGGCGGCTGGGCCCAGGGCTCAGAGCGCAAGGAGCCCCTGCTTCCCGGAGCCCCTGGTGTCCTCGTCTGCCCTCGGGGGCTGGGCCAGGGCTGGGTGGCCGGTCTCCCACGAAGCTCTCAACAAGTTCCAGGCCTCTCCTCCTGAGCTCAGATCCCACCCCCAAGCATACCCCCTCCGCTGCATCCTCGGAGAGCAGGAAGCTGCTGGGGGAGGGTTTCTAACGCGCCTCCTCAGCCCTGAGCACTGTCTAAAGAGCTCGGGGCTGCCAGCCACAGGGCCCGGGCGCCAGGTTTCTCAAAGAGGGTCAGAGTTGGTTCAGAAGCCCTGTGTGGTCCCCGCGAAGGGATTGGCTAGCCCCGCTGCCTCCAAGTCGCCTTTTTGACGGGCAGGCTGTCCCCTTTCCCTGGGTCACAGGGAGACCCGCGGCGCAGCCAGGGAAAGTGGTCTGGAATGGCCCTTTGACATCGTCCCTGGGGTTTTTTAGAATGAGTTTCCTGGTAAGGAAGACTGCTCAGGCGTTGAGCAGGATTCTCGGTAGAGTCTCCCGGGTTTGCTCCAATCCGACTAACGCCAGCAGAAACCACCCGGCCGTCTGTGTTCCAGAGTGCTGGGAGCCGTGGCTTCCTCAGATGCAGTGTCAGCAGATGCGGCAGCCAAGCACTGGGGTGTTTGCTTTAAGGCCCTTGCTAAGCCCCAGGGACGGAGAACAGGCAGAGGAGAACCCTGTCCCTGTCTTGGTCCTCTCATCAGCGTCACACCTCCTGCCTTCTCTAGAAATGCCTGGTGCCTCAGGGGATGCCAGAAGAGCTTTTCCCTGAGCCGTGCCAACCCAGGACCTCTGTCAGGTAGACATAAGTGTCCAGGTTGCCTTGGGGATCAGGGAGGGGCCTCTCTCTCCCTCTGCCACCTCCTGGCTCTTCTGGGACTACAATCTGTGTGGCAGCTGGATCCCTGTCTGGGCTGAGGGCTGTGGGAAGAGGTGGTCATGGAGGCATCAGGTGGGGGAGGAGAAGAGGCCTGGCCCCTGGATGCTGTGGAGGGTAGCTATCAGGAGATTACACTGGGGGCCAGCACCTGGACTCACTTTCCCAGGGGGTAGTGGGGCCACTGACATAAGGGGTGCTGTCAGGAGGACACGGTTTTGCTCTGGGTTTGCCCTCTGCCCTGGCATCTAAGCCAAGCTGTGAGTTGGGGGGAAGGGGTCTCATCGCCTCAGAAGGCTCCCTCTGCCGTGGTGGTCTGGCTGCAGTGACCAGGGGCACATGCAGACAGGTTTGGACTGGCAGCTGCTGGGTCAGATAGTCTGACCCAGACACCGCATTCTGATCTGAATTATAGCTGAGACTCGCCCTGCCGTGGGGTGGGGCAAGGGATTTGAGTTCCTTGATCAGAACCTCCTTGCCTTTTCCCCTCCCAAGCATCACAGTATTTGTTGATAGATGCAAGTGTATAAACCAGGCATGAATATGACTCGGCAAATGAAGTAGACAACTTTAGTACCTAATAACACCCAATTCATATTCCTCCTACTTGATTCATACCCACCAAAACCAAGGGCATTCATCTCTCAAAACTGGCAAGTTTATGTAAGCAAACCACGCTGTTTGTAAAAAGAAGTGCACTTTCCGAGGCTCAAGGACAACAATACCTAGCGCCTAAAGACCACAACTGCAAGACAGAATCCAGCGATAACTACACTCTTCCAGCTAAGACTGAAACGGCCGAGGGGGTAAAGACTGCAACGAATCAAGTCTCCCCGAGCCAAGCGCCTTCTCCCTACCCGTGCGTTACTCCAGGCCTAGTGGGCCTCGGCTGGATGGTGGGAATGAGGGGAAATAAGGCCCAGGGCAAGCAGCGTGGGCCAGCACCTGGCGTGGGCACACCGCCTCGGCAGAAGGGCCGCGGCGTCCAGGGCTCGGCCACGCTTGGGGCAGCTTTGGAGAAAAGCAGCTGTGAATGGGAGCCATGGGGAAGCCTGCTGCCTACCTTAGGAGGTAGCGGGCCCCTCGCAGTACCCAGGAGCCACAGGACACAAGTGCTGCCACCAGAGATGCAGGTGACAGGCGTCCCTGCAGCGGCGGGCACACCCCCCTCACGCCCTCCTCCGTGTTCCCTCCCTCTGGGAGTGTCCTCTCGATGCCAGAGCAGGGGCTCCTCTGAGCCTGGGGCTGTCTGCCAGGCTTTCTCCTCCTTTCTGCGCAGCGAGGATGGCGTGGCCTTCTAGGCCCCCAGACACGTAGAGGCCTCGGTGAGGGGGCTTGTGGAAACACCCACTAGCGTGGCCTTTCCTGGCACCCTCAGTGGAGGAGCACGGGCCCTGCCGGGGGAGAAAGCAGCCTCCCTGCTGGGCCTGCATGCGCCCGCACGGCTGGCCCTTCTCCCTTTGACCCCCTGCAGCCATCAGCCACAGGGGCCTGCTTCCCAGTCCAGGAGCAAACCCTGCTGCGCTCTGCGCCAGCCCTCTCAGCCTTTCATTCATTCCATGGTTATGTCCCCAGCACGCCAGGGCCGCTCCGCCCTGGGACCCTGAGCCCCTGCCGGCACGGAGCTTGTGTCTGGTGCCAGGTGGCGTAAGTGTTACAAAGACAAGTGGCACAAATGAAGGGACAGTGTGAGGGGGCTGTGGGTCAGGATTGTGAAGAGGGGGAGTATAAGGAGAGGTCTCCACTTTCCAGGCGAAGGGACAGGGAGAGGAGAGGCTTTGCAGGCGAGGAGTTCTGGCTGCCTCAAGAGCACTCTGGCTGCTGGGCGGGAATGGACTGGGGGGTGCGGAGGGGGGTGGGGTGCGGTGGGTGAGAGTAAAAGCGGAAAGACTCTTCGGTTGTCACTAGGTTTCACTTGCCTCCCCTGAGCCTCCCAGCCTTCCTTCTCGCCTCGCCGCCCTTTTCCTCATCTCTGTCCCTAAGAGCTCGGAGAGCCCATAGGCTGTCCTCCCTGTCTCCTGTGCCCCCAGAGTGAGGCTAGTCTGGCCCTCCAGACCACTGTCGCCACCCGTGACTCCTTCGTCTCCTGTGTCTTGCCCTGTGCTGTGAGCAGCCTGCATGTCCTCTTGGTCCTGTCTTGGTGCCCTCTCCACCCTGCTTAGGCATCTCCTGCATTTCCCATGCAGTGTTTCTGCTTTGGGGGTGTTGGCTTGCTCCTCGGCCCTAGAGAGCAGGGCCCTGTCTTACTTTGCCCTGGGTCTGGGCTGTGTTCGGCCTCAAAGGCCGTGGGCCGTGACTGGCACCTGGGGTTGGGTTTTTTCCAGGTCCTGTCTGTCGTTCAGGTCAATCATTAATCGATCTACTTCTGCTTGGAGTCTGGGGCAGTATACTGGCTCATGGCCTCAGGACCTGGAGCATCTTCATTCCTTGACCTGACTGCCCTGGATAGGCCCTGAGCCAGTGGGAAGGTGGAGGCAGGACGGGAGATCGGGGGCGAGCAGGCCACCACTGCAGGGGCGAGGCCAGGGCCCAGAGTCGGGATGGAGGTGGGGACTCGGGGCCCTGGAGAGGCCAGCATGGCCAGCCTTCACCCCTGTCCTTGCGTTTCAGACCTGAAGCTGCACCTGCAAAGCACTGACTATGGCAACTTCCTGGCCAACGAGGCGTCACCCCTGACAGTGTCAGTCATCGATGACCGGCTCAAGGAGAAGATGGTGGTGGAGTTCCGCCACATGAGGAACCATGCCTACGAGCCGCTCGCCAGCTTCCTGGACTTCATTACGTGAGTGAGCCCTCTGCAGCCTTCAGGGTGCTCCTGGGGTAGGATGGGCCCGCCATCAAGCCCGGACCTCCAGCTGCTACCCACTCCCCGCTGGCCGGGGATCTGGCAGGCATGGGTGTCCCTCACTGTGGTGCTGGACAGAGCCTTTCCTTGCACCCTGCTGTTCCTGAGGTCGGGTGGGGAAACGATGCACACCCTTTTTCTCACTTGTACACACTGGACACACACCAGGCCGCCACTCGCATGCGGGTAGGGGTCAGGGCTAGAGAGACACTCAAGAGCCGGGTTCTCAGCATGGACCGCTGAGGCCCTCTGGCCCCATCTGGGCTCAGGCTCCTTTGCTGTTATCTCTGACCGTGGCTCTGGGTCTCAGGAAGACCTCGCTGCCTTTCCCAGTTCTGGCCCGGGCCCCCCGGGTTTCTGGCCCCTGGCTGTCCACCTTCACCACTGTCAAACCCTTGGGTGCAGCCCTGCCTCTGAGAAGCTCCTACAGAAGCTGAGCTAAGGAAGGGCCCCTGAACCCTGCAAGCAGGCGCAGGCCTCAGTTGGCCAAGTGGCCTGCGCAGTGGTGGTAGCCAGGCCCCTCCATAGGCGTGGCCTAGGAGCTGTGAGCCACTGCCTGCCCCTGGCTGCCTCACTCAGGTCACAAGCCGACGAGCGAGCGTGGCTGGGTGTGTGTAGCGGGGAAGTGTTTGCAGGCACTCTGTGGGGTGCTCGCTAGCTCCCGCCATTCCCTGGCGGCAGTCTTCACACTACACTCTCTCTCCTTGGAACCTGCCACTCCTGCCCCTCAGGATCAGGGCTAGCTGCCGGCTGCCTGGCCTGATTCCATCCCTAGCAAGGAACAGTCATTGCTCAAGACCCACTTGCTCAAGTGGGGGCTGCCGCCAGAAGGTCTCCATTTTCGGGTGGGGGCCACAGGCTTGCACCCCAGAAGGGCCCAGGAAACCTGCCAGGAAGCAGGCTTTCTTCCCAGGGGGCTCCCTTTTGTCCGCTGGGCCTGTAATCACACTGTCCTGGCCGTGGTCAAAGTACAGCCGCTGTGGTCTTACTGGGGCTGGAGGCCAGAGATGGGGTGTGCCTTGTCCTACCACATTAAGGGGGTTACACCACAGTGTCCCATCTGTCAGTCAGCCCCTGGCCTGGGCCTGTGTGTCCCTTGCCCCAAGGCCAGAGCCGAGGACACACCAGGAAGCAGTGTGTTTATTGCCAGAGCCCAGCCTCTGCCTTGTTTGCTCAAGGCTCCTCCAGCTTCCTGGTGGATGTTCTGGCTTTCCCAGGTTGGCTGGCTAAAGAAGGCCTGGCCATGCCAGTGGTCGGAAGGCAGATGTTATCCATCCGCTGCCCTCTTGGTCACCTGCTTGTGTCGCCAGCCCCTGGCCTGTCTTGGTGCCCTCAGAGGCTTGGCCTCAGCCTGCCAGGCCACAAAGTTGGATCAGGCTCTGAGCGTGACTGAGGCGACACAGCCGCCAGCTCTTTGCTGGAGGTCGGCTGCAAGCACCGAGTGTGCTTAACACAGCCAAGTGCTCTCCTGTGGCGGCTGTCACTGCCCGCCCCTTCATTCATGGGTGATTGTGGCTTAGAGGCTTCCCGTCCCCTCGCCCCCGCCTCACTCAGGAGGGGCTCAGCAGCGGTGCGTCGGCCCTTCCGAGCCTGCCACCTCATCCTGTCCAGTGACCCCTCTCCTGCTCCCACTTCGGCCTCCCCCACCGATGACTGTCCAAGGCTCTGTCGCCCCTGGAATGGCTCCGCCCCTGAAATCGCTGAGTCAGACACTCCCCTGTCTCCCCACAGCCTTCAGGCCTCCCAGCCCACTCCTCGTCCCTTGAGGGATGCGGGTTCCGGACTCAGCAGGACCCTGGGCCGCGCTTCCTCCCTGCTGCTGCCCCTTCTGTCTTCATTTTCTTCCCTCCCCAACTGAGGTTCCCGGGTCCATCATTCAAGCGCTCTTCTGCCAACATCCGCAGCTCTCTTGGCCGCCTCTCGTGGTCCCGCCCGGCTGGCAGCCCCCCAGCCCTGGAGGAACCCCAGCAGCCTCCTGCCTGACCCTCCCCCATCCACACTGCGCAGCAGAGCTGGGGAAGCCTGCGCTGGGCGGGAGGTCCCTGCCCTCTGATGAGCACGTTCTCCAGCTAAGCGGACCTTGCCGGGCCTGGCCCTGGACCGGGAGCGCCTTGCTGGCCCAGCCCAGCATGGCACCCTGCAGCCCCCACTGGGTTGAGAAGACCACTTCCCATGTTGAACCCCACCTGCCTCCCGTCCCCCACGCTCTCTCCGGGCAGATGGCCCACCTCCTGCTCCACAGAGACAGTGGAGGCCGTTCTGCTTCCCAGCGCTGCATCTGTGCCCCCTAACCCCATTCCAGTAGCAAAGGTGCCCCCCTGCACCCCCATCTCTTGGCTCCATCTGCTGGTGTCCTGAGCCCTTTCACCTCATTCTGGACTCCAAATGACCCAGCTTCCCTCCCTCCTGCTTCTTCTCAGCATCACCTGAGCAAACTCAAGTCTTGGATCCTTCCAAACCCATCTCCTGAGGCTTCAACTTTCATATTCACTTCCCCCACCGCCCCACATCCTCCAAGCGTCCAGGCAGCTTCTAGCACAGCACCTCAGACCTACGCCCCAAGGCTTGGGGTATTGCTGACCTTTGTGTGGTCAAGGACACAGCTTAACTATGTGGCCTAATGAGAAGCCACATCCCTCTCACCACCTCCAGCTGTCTCCTCACAGTATCTGACTTAACGCCTCTCTCCCTCGCGCCCTTCCTTTTCCTCCTCCTCTTCCACTCCACATTATCATGCTGGGTCGTCCCAGAGTGAGGCGTGTAGCAGAAATGGGTGAAGCCTTCCTTAGGGGCCTGTCCAGGGGCCCTCTCCCAGACTGGGGACTTCTTTGAGTGGCTGTTTGGCTGAAGGGAAGGGCATTTAAAGGGAGAATTGGGGCCAAAGAATTGTGACTGAAGGAACCCTATTTGTTCTCAGCAGCTAGAGCCGGGAGGCCTTGGCTTGTGGTCTCTCCGGGAAGAAGGAAGTTAACCTAAAGCTGTCCAGAGGATAGAAATCAGAGGGGAGCGTGGTCTCCTAGGTGGTGAAAGCCTCAGCGAGGGCCCCCTCCTGGGGGTGGAGGCTTGAGGGAGCGATGCCATTGCTGCCCACGGACACAGCTGGCCGAGCTGGGGTGGAGGATGCGGGCCACCTTAGCTTCTTCCCTCAGAATCTCTCAGTTGCCTTCAGAGCTGCCCTCGGATGGCTGGCACAGGCTTCTGCAGGAGGTGAGGAGTTCGCTGTCATTAAAGATGAGCCAGCAGAACCTGACCAAGGCCCCCCTGCCTTCCCTTGTGAGGGGTGTCTACTGGTTTTGCACAGCTCAGCCAGCCCTCAGCCAGTGCACAGGACGCACCTGCTGTGAGCCAGGGAGGAGGGAGATGGGCGAATGCATGGGGTGGGTGCCAGAGCCGGTGTAGACAGCCTTGGAGAGGCCTGTGTACAGAGAGAGGCGGTTTGGTAATTCAGCTCCATTACCTGGGGATGAGACGTAAGATGCCACTGTACAAAGGGCTTCTTGTTTTGTGACTTGGGATGGAAACACTTTCAGCACTTTTGGTGTTGGGGAAGACCTTGACCCAGGCCTTTCCATGATGTTTTCCTTGTGCCCTGAGAAGGAAGCTGGAAGAGTCGCTTATGTGAGAAGTGAGCTGATCTCGGAATGCTCAGGTGTATCCCAAAGCCCTTTGTCCTGAGGGAGCCTCCTTGGATAGAGCCACACCCAGTGTGCAGGGAGCCTGGGCCTGGCCACCTGCACCTTTTGGGGGTGCTGAGTTCCCATATTGCTCCTGTGCCGGATGCCTTGGTGCCTCCAGCCTGGCGTGGCCAGCTCTTAGGCGGCTTTGTCCCGGGAAATGACCTCAAGTGTGCCTTGGGCCTGTCAACATACCTGCCGTTCCCCCCGGAGCACGCAGCCCCAGTCTTGAGTCATGCTGGGTCACGAGGAGCAGCAGGCTTCCCCCTGTCTCCCTATCTTGCCCTCTAGCCCTGACTGTACAGCCAATTTTCTGGATCAACTGCAGGCCTTCAGGGTGGAGCTTTAGGCCTGCTGTGCTTTCTGGATCCCAGGCTAGACCCCTTCTGCCTTGAGGGAGAACCAGCACCCACCCCGCTCTGAGCTTGAAAGAGAGCTCACAGGAGTGCTTCAAGACCCAGAAGGCTCAGATCAAATGGAGCCCCAACTGGGCCTCTGGGGAGGGCAGGCTTTTGATGGGGAGCAGGTCGGGGTCTCACTACCTCTGGTAGGGGCTGCACTTGAGTCATCCTGATTGCAGTGGTGAAACGGAGGCCGGGTGGGGAACGTGCTGAGGCAGTAGCTGGATATCATTGCCCGCTTTCCATCCTGGGCTGTTCTCTGAAGGGCCCAGGTGTCATAGAGGACAGATGCTGTGATGGCAGCCCCTGCTGGGAGCCGGGGGTGGACACAGGCCGTTGTCATGGCCTGGCCAGTGCCAGGCGGACCCCAGGGCAGATGGTGAGATGGGAGTAGCTGCTGCTCCAGCAGGTGGCGCCAAAGGGCACCGCAAAGGGTAGAGCTTGGCGAGGGGCTCTGAAGACTTCCTGGAGGAAATGGCTTCCTGAACTCCTGCCAGTTGAGACCTCTGGGGCCCACGCTGAGCCTTAAAGGCTCAGGGCGAGGGAGGCCTTGGGGCAGAGGAGTACCGACTGCCCCACTCCCACCCAACGAGGGCCTCCTTGGTCTGGCTGACAGCCACCTGTCCACTCCCCAGCTGTCTTCCTCTGGAGGGAGACGCTGACCAGCTGGAACCTCATTCTCTCCTCTTGAGGCCAAATGAGGGGAAAAGTGGTGGAGCGGCTTTCTGGGGGCAGGGAGGCAGCTGCTGAAGCTAGGCAAGGAGGGAGGAGGATTTCCCTGCCTGCTGAAGGCCTTGGCCTTGGGGAGGAAGCAGACAGCTGGACCCGTGTCATCTCTGCCAGGCCTGCCCTGCCTCCTTCCGCCCAAGAAAGAGGATTCTGACTCTCAGCGGGCAGGGGAGAAAAGCATGACTGCTGCTCCAGTGACTAAGGAGGCAGGGCCGGGCCGGGCCTGGCCTAGCGTGGGTACCGGGCCCCCCAGGGGGAGCAGGCTTTGCTTGGCTCAGCATTTTCTGCGGTGCCCAGCTCCGACTTCCAGCAGGAGAGACTGGGGGCAGCTGTGCAGAGCTGCCGCCGGCCCCCACGTCTGCTGTCAGGGCTGAGCAGTGAATCATTGCTGGCTTGTTCCGCATCGCTGGAGGGACAGCAGCAAACCAGATGGTGGGATCTTGCCAGAGGACTCTTCCGAGGCTGGGCCATGACCCGAGGAGCACCACGGCCCCTCCCTTGGTCTCTCACCCTGAGCTGTGGGCACAAGGAGCGGGACAGGGTGAGAAAGAGGGAGCTGGCTTACGGGGATCCGTACGAGAAGACCAGGCTAGATGGAGGGGTGGAAGCGGTGGCTCCCCCGCCTTAGGGCGTCACAGAGCCTCATGTTGCCCTTCTCTGCATCAGCCTTCTGGCAGTGGGGCACTGATGTGGGTGGTCATGGGATAGCAGGGGCTGGCAGGGGCTGAGGCCTGCTGTTCTCCCCGTCTCTGTCCAAAGGGCTGTGAGTGCATCGTGGAGCATCCTTGGGGTTGGGGTGGGCTCTTTGTGGCTGGTTTGGAGCATGGAGACTAGAGAAGAGCCAAACAGGGCGCAGGCAGAGTGTGGCAGGAGGTAAAGTGCAGCGTGGGTCGTGGGGCACGTGGGGTTCTGGAGGGATGACCTGTCCAGGGTGGAGCAGAGCAGCCAGGGCTCTCTGGAAGGCTCCCCTGAGTGCCCGCTGCTCCCCAGCCCTGTCGGGTCAAGGGCAGCAGACTGCCACTTTGGCCTCTGGCTTGCAGCTGCAGAAAGGCCCTGCCTGACGCCCTCAGTTTGGGAAGGGGGGCCTATCTCTTCTCGGCGCACATCCTGTGGCTGACCTAGCCGGATTGGGGGTGGAGAGAGGGCAGCTGCCTGGCCCCAAGCCCAGGAGAGCAGAGGTCGTAGGAGGGCGCTGGGCCGGGTAGGAGCTAGGGGAGCATGTGGCAGGCAGGGGGAGAAGGGTCAGGCCAGGACAGGAGCTGCGGCTTCCTCCTGCTGCCTTCCCGCAGGGCCTGTGGGACTCCCCCAGTGGGCCAGCCTCTGAGCTGAGGCCCGGCCCACCACCTCCTTCCCTTCCTGCCCTTGGTAGCAGGGTGTGACTTCTCACCAGGGGTCTTCCTTGGACAGCCTCAGCACCAGATACAGTCATAGGACAGGGCGCTAGCTGTGCCCGGCCAGAAGCCAGGGCCACATCCAGCTCAAGGCAGGAGCCGCCACTCCTGCCCTAACCCTTTGGGGGGGGGGAGCCACGCTGACTGTGGGGAATGCCCCTTCTTAGGCCTCATCAGCTCCCTGAGGCCCATTACTAGTAACAGCCAACTGTGCCCTGGGGCGCCATGCCCCTCTTCTGCCCAGGCCCACAGAGACTGTCCAAGACTCCCTGGCCCGACCTGGGCACTGACTGGCTGGAGGGGGCGTTGCCCCTGCTGAGTCCCAGCGGTGCAGCCCCTCCCCTGGCGGCTCCACAGCCCCCTCTGCTGCCCATGCACTACCGAGAGCCTCTGCCTGGGGGAGCTCAGTCCCTGTCAGGGCTCCTCCAGGCTGTTCTGGGCTGACTGCCTCGGCCTGGAGCCCTGACGGAGGAGGTGGGGAGGAGGTAGTGGTACACCCTCTCTGGCGCGGGGCTGTGCAGGGCAGTCTGCTCCGATCCTGCCTGACCCAGGCCTTACTCCAGAGAGGCCCTTCTCTGGCTCTTCTCAAACGGCTCTAGAGAGACTTCCCACCCACGCCTCAGCCTTTCCTCCCTCCCCATCTCGCCCCGCTCCAGCCCCCCAGTCCCCCAGCCCCACAGCCCCACCCAGTGGCCAAGCCACCCTCACTGGCTCCCTGCTTACATCTTGGCTCAGTGATCCGTCCCAAGTGCAGCCAGGACCCCCAAGTGCGGCCAGGACCCTCTGCTGGCCGTGGGGCGAGCCTGCCGGCAGCACTGCTCGCCACCCCCTCATGCCTGAGCTCAGTTCCTCGAATGCGACTGTCCTCGGTGGCTGCCTCGGGCCTTTGCACACGCTGTTCCCTCTCCCCAGAGCACGCTTTCATCTCTCTGTTCTTTCACCCCAGGCCTGCCTGCACGCGTCCCCTCCGCACACCCACAGTTACCCTGTCCTGCCTGGACACGGTCCACACTGTGGAGTGGTTACCCGTTTTCCAGTCATTCGTGGGGCATGAAGTCACCATCACCACAAATGAAGGGGTTGTCTGACCTGTGCGCCTGCTGCTGGAGCAGGCTCCCTGGGCGGGGAGGTGAGCCAGTGGTGCTGACTCTCGCAGCCAGGGGGCAGCGCACATGGTCGAGGGCGAGGGCAGGGGCTGGGCACCGGGCCAGGCCTCCAGCCCACACCCCTGACGGCTGCCCTGCTGTGTGTGCCTCCGTAGCTACAGCTACATGATTGACAACGTAATCCTGCTCATCACGGGCACGCTGCACCAGCGCTCCATCGCCGAGCTCGTGCCCAAGTGCCATCCCCTGGGCAGCTTTGAGCAGATGGAGGCCGTGAACATTGCGCAGACGCCCGCCGAGCTCTACAATGCCATCCTGGTGGACACGCCCCTGGGTGAGCCGTGGTGGCGGAGGGGGAGGTAGCCGTGGCATCAGTGTCGTGCCTCACTGTGGCTGTGGATCCCCCCCAGTGGGGGGATGACCCCAAGCGAGGCCTCCCCACTGCTGCTCACCTTTACCTTCTCCGTTCACTCCTCCTCACCCCCCTCCCTTCTGCTCCTTGCATTGGTGGGGCGGGGGCAGGCTGCCTCCGGACCTCTAGCAGTGAAACCCACTGGTTTTCAGGACGCAGAGGAGGGTCGAGCTCGTGGAGGATGGTGAGAGAGGTCTGGGTCCCCTGGAGTCTTGGGACCTCTGGCAGACTGTGGTCCCAAGCTGGGCTGGAGTAGCTGCTGTCCTGAGGCAGAGGCGGGAAGCAAGCAGCTTCACTTGCCTCTACCAAGCAGGTCCCAGGGGTCAGGTCAGGCAGTGTCCGGCAGGATGCAGGGTCCGTGTCAGAGGCCAAGGAAGGAAGGGGAACTGGGGGCTTCCTGCAGGGCCCCACCTAGCCAGGCCTGGCTCCTGTCTGCCTTGGAGGCTGGGGAGGAAGCACAAAGGCTGTCACTAGCCCTCAAAGCTTGAGTCCTGGTCCCCAGAGCACCACCTCCAGGAAGCCTCCAGGGTTGAGCCATAAAATGTAAACCACACTCAGTTTGCCTGAGAGACCTGAGCCCTACCTGCTGGCCTCACCTGCTGTAGAGACTCCCCCAGGGACGCTGAGCTGTCGTCACCCCTTCAGTTTCTTCATCCTTAAAGAAGAGACAGATCAGTGGGTTTAAAGTACATACCCCCCACCCCAAGGGGAGTGGGAGGTGGGGCTCTATCCTGTTCTGTCCTCTTCCAGCTTTGTGGGTTACTAGTTCATGCCCACCTAGATGTCAAATTCATTCCTTGTCTAAGGAGGAAGAGGCTGGTTTTGCAAATGTGGGCCCCAGCTCTCCTGGGGAGTGCAGAGAAGTGGGTGTCTGATCCCAAATCCACAGCTGCCCCTCAAGAAGAGAGGATGTCACGGCCTCTTACGCAAGCCTGTCTTTGGCATGGTCTGAGCTTGGGTCTGCCCCAGCGGTGATTAGATCATATTATGGCTGGCCGCCTCCTTTATAAATCAATTTTAGGAGCAAGAAAGCAGGAGAAACTCAGGTCAGCGCACGTGGCTCAGAGTGTTGCCACTTCCAAGACAATAGCCCAGACGGGCGTGGGGACCCCCCAACACCCAGCCCCGCTGTGTCCTGCAGGGGCAGTTCAGCATCCGCAGGGCTCTTTCCTCAGCCCCCTCCACCAGCCCGCCCCTGACACGCCTCTTTCCTCCCCAGCGCCTTTTTTTCAGGACTGCATCTCAGAGCAGGACCTGGATGAGATGAACATCGAGATCATCCGCAACACCCTCTACAAGGTAGTGGAGATTGGGCGAAGATGGGTGGGGCTGTGGGTGTAATAGGCCCATGATTTATGGGGTGCTGGGACGGGAAACAGCTGCACCAGGCTCCTACCCCCGGGGCTTATCCACTCACTCCCAGCTCCTGTGATGGGCACAAGGCTGCATGGAACAGGTTCCCTGTCCCCTGGTGCCCGCGGCAGGTGATTAAGATCAGCGGGCGTGGCAGCCTCTCGACGGTGCGGCCTGTCAGAGCTGGCTCTCGGATGGCCGCTCCCCTGCATCCAGCAGGGTCACCGGCTGCCACCAGGCCACAGCCCTCCGGCTCCCTCGACCTGGGCTGTTGCCAGCCACGACAGGCCTTGAGCAGAGGCCAGAGCGTGCTCTGGTACGATGGAGGCAGGGACCCAGCTAGGCGTCGGCATGTCCCCGTAGGTCCCTGCGTCCTGAGGTTCCCACTGAGGGCCAGTGCGTATCGCCCATCCTCATTCTCCACTGCATTCTGCCTTTCACCAGGTGGTAGCCCAGGCTGGTGACCCCCGAGACAGACTAAATGAACATGGGACTCCCAGGTGAACACTGCCCTGGCCTGAGAGGCTAAGAGCAGGGTTAAGAGGAGGCCTCCCTGGTGACGCAAGGAGTTCAGTCTCTTCACTGTGAAGCTGTTGGCAGCCACTGCAGCACGAGTTCACTCCCTGGCCCCAGAGCTGACCCACAGTGCCCAGCAGACCTCTCCTGTCTCACCTGCTGTTCCCTCAGCAGTGTACGTAAGTCTACTCTGTCTCTGGTGAATCCTCTCACCATCTCCCCCCACACCTCTGACTATGCCCAGGTTCTTATATGCATAAGTAAATAAAAATATATATGTATATATATATATATATTAAAGATTTAATTATTTATTAATGCAGAACTGGGGTACAGGCCAGAGGTGCAGGGGGGTGAGAGGATTCACCAGAGACAGAGTGGGGAGCAGAACAGGCAGATCTACTGAAATATACTGCTGAGGGGGGCCAGGGAGCAGGTTAGGAGAATCCTGCCACTCCGTGTGGGCCAGCTCCCTGGCTGGGCATTGAGCTCATGCTGCCGTGGCTGCAGACGGCTTCGTAGTGCTGTTTAACCTGTCGCGCCACCAGGGAGGGCCTGCCAGCCCATCTTTATAGAAGTCTACTCTTGCCCTGGCTGCTGCCTGAGCCCAGGCCTTTGAATCCTGCCACAGGTGCCTGGGCCAGAGTGCAGGAAGGGCCTAGTGTGGGAGAGGCTTGCCTGGGGGCCCACAGTGGTGTGGGCACGGGGGCGGCACTTGCAGAAGGCAGGCCCGGAGCGTGGGCAGCCAGCGCAGGCTGCAGGACAGCAGAAGGCGGTTCTGCAGGAAGAGGCCAGCACAGGGTCCGGCCACCCGGCCAGAAGCTTCAGCCTTCTCTGTGCACAGGGTCAGCCAGTGAAGGCTTCACGGGGCAGGGAGTCATCAAAAAGCTGCGGCATGGAGACGGATTAGCAGGGCTGCGTCTAGCGGTAGGATTATCACCTCTGCAATGCTCAGGGTGGCCCAGGAGCTCTGTAGGCATCTGCATCCCATCTGTAAGATGAACTGAGGGCTCAGAGACGGGGCAGGTTGCCTGCTGCCACTCGCTAGACGCTGGCGGCACTGGGGATCATCCCCAGCTCTGCCTGTTGCCAAGCAAGTGCCCTCACCTGCAGTCAGGAGAGGCGCCTTCACATGGGCGCGTGTGTGTGCGCGCCCGTCCACCCTGCTATTCCGCTGCCGGGCTCCTTGCCCTGAGTCTGGGTGAGGGGTGCGGCTGTCCCCCCAGCCTCACCTACACCCTCACCGGACCTAACTGGTTTCAGCTGGAATTACTGACGAGGGCTGCCCAGGCCCTAGCTCATAAACACAACCTGAAGGCGTGGGCCCTGTGCCAGGACTGCTTGCCCGTCCAACAGTGTCTCAGCCCAGTGGCCACAGATGGGAGATTAGGTGGCCCCTCAGCCACCTGGTGGAACTGTAAGCAGCTGGTGCAGCCACCATGGGCGGGCAGACTCTAGTGCAGAGGGTGGGGGCAAGGTGACCTTGCTACCTGGGTCTTTGAGGTCTTCTCAGTTTTCTCAGCTGTCTCAGCCTCCAGAAGAGTTTGGGTCTGTCCCCCCAGCCTGCTCCACTCGGGAGTCAGCCTTTGCAGGGATCAGTATGGCTTGGTGAAGCCTCCCCTCGGACAGAAACCGCAGGCCCCACTGGGGCAGGCCTGGGGATTAACCACAGCCAGCTTGGCCAGCCACAGAAAAGGAAATGGCTGGGAGCATGCATCAGTACCCCCAGCCACGACCGGGGGGCTGTTCCCGCCACCCAAGCCTCTGATTTCTGGTGGTCCTCGGGCTGGGGTCCACTCTCTCCTTCTGGGCTTCTTATTCCCCTGTGCCATTTGCCCAGTGCTGCTGGCCGGGCTAGATGTGGACTGTGGGCTCCTGGGTCTCGTCTTGTCTTTTCTCCCGCGCAGCACCGCCCAAGGCCCGAGCCGACAGGTGGTGACGGAAAGGTCTCCACGCCTGGGAGGCCAGACGTCGGCGCGGAGCGCTCCCGGGCCTCGCAGCCTTCACTTCCCAAATCAGAAAAGCCTCGGGTCTGTGGTGCAGAGTCCTGTGCCCACACCTCTGGGTGGGGGGCCCTGGAGGAGCCGAGAGGGGCTGCAGACGGGGCGGGGAAGGAAGCCTGTGCCTGGCTACTGGGGAGGGCTGGGGCGGACCGGTCTGTCCTGCCCTGCGTCCTCCTGAGCAGCAGAACCCATGCACCGGCCCGCAGTGCTTGTCCTGCTGGCCAAAGTGGCCAGTCCTTGCACTGCAGGGCTGACGTCCGAGTAGGTTCCCTCCCCAGGAACCGGGCTGACAGTTTGGTTCCTGTGGTGTGATGCTGAGACGGGAGAAGAGGGGTTCTGAAAGGTGGGGAGCGGGAGGGGCCCAACCCCTGATGTCTCAGGACCTCTGCGAGTTAGCCCTGCTGTTCCTGGCTTTCTGAGGCTGTAGAGGGGCAACTGGGGACAAAGGCAGGCGAGCAGCGTGGAGCAGAGCGCCCACGTGGGGGTCTGGCCCTCTGCCCCTAAGGACGCGGGGGTGTGACCCCCAAAGCAGGTCTTCGGCCGGAGCTGCTGTCGCTCCTGCTAGGGCGCCGCAGGCTGCTGCCTGGCTCAGTGCTGCCCGGTGAGTCCCCAGCGGCAGAGTGGGGGTCAGCACACTGGCCCCTGCGTCCCTGCCCACACCCAGCTACGTCCTCATGCCCGCGCTTCCCCCCTCCTCCGGTCCCTGCCAAGGGCACAAGCTGCTCTTTGAGGGTGCAGGCAGCAACCCCGGAGACAAGACTGGTTAGCGGCGGGGTACCCCAGCGTGAGCCTCCTCTCCCTTCTGTGGGTCCCCGCCAGTGCTGTGGCCCAAGGGAAGGGTAGAGGGGGGCCTTCCCGGCCAGTCCACGGGTGTGATGTCTGGACTCACCTCAAAGGGGCTGCGGGGGAGGCGGGAGTAGGAGGCCTGGCCAGCGCCCAGGCCTCCTGCCAGGCCTGAGCGGGCCCATGTTCTGCACAGGCCTACCTGGAGTCCTTCTACAAGTTCTGCACCCTCCTGGGTGGGACCACAGCTGATGTCATGTGCCCCATCTTGGAGGTGAGTGCCCGCCAGCCCTCTGGCCTGCCGACCCCTGGTAGCCCCGGCTGGGGGGCCCTGGCCGCTGACTGGCTGCTGGCCTCCATCCCGCTCCCTCTCTCCCTGCCTGCGCACTGGCTCACAGTTTGAAGCTGACCGCCGCGCCTTCATCATCACCATCAACTCCTTCGGCACGGAGCTCTCTAAGGAAGACCGTGCCAAGCTGTTTCCACACTGCGGGCGGCTCTACCCTGAGGGCCTGGCCCAGCTGGCTCGGGCTGACGACTATGAGCAGGTCAAGAACGTGGCTGACTACTACCCGGTGAGTCCCCAGCGGCAGAGTGGGGGTCAGCACACTGGCCCCTGCGTCCCTGCGCACACCCAGCTAAGTCCTCATGCCCATGCTTCCCCCTCCCCCGTCCCGGCCAGGAGTACAAGCTGCTCTTTGAGGGTGCAGGCAGCAACCCCGGAGACAAGACTCTGGAGGACCGATTCTTTGAGCATGAGGTGAGTGCCGGGCCTCCCAGGAGCGGTTGGTGCTCAGGCCTGACTGAGGTCACGGCCACCGCGTACCATGCCGCCTCCGTCTGCAGGTCAAACTGAACAAGTTGGCCTTCCTGAACCAGTTCCACTTTGGTGTCTTCTATGCTTTCGTGAAGCTGAAGGAGCAGGAGTGCCGCAACATCGTGTGGATTGCCGAGTGCATCGCCCAGCGCCACCGCGCCAAGATCGACAACTACATCCCCATCTTCTAGCGCCCTGGCCTCAGGCTCCACACACGCGTGTGTGTTCCCATGTGTGTGGCATCTGGCTCACAGCCTGCCCCAGGGGGTAGCACTGTCCTAGTGGCTGCCCAGCGCCCCCCACGCTCTGAGACTGCTCTTGGGCCTGAAAGGGGCTGGGTTTCTGCTCCCCCCACCAAGCCCCACCTCCAGAGCGAGGAGCCCCTCAGCCCTGTTTACAGCCGCTGACATGTCTGAGAAGCATGTGGTCACTTTTGTGTGTCCCCCCAACCTGAGGGCCCCCTGGGGGCAGCGTGAGCCTCCTCTCCCTTCTGTGGGTCCCCCGCCAGTGCTGTGGCCCAAGGGAAGGGTGGGGGGGGGCAGTAGCTCTGAAACCCCCTCCTTCAGCACTGTCCTGTGAGACAATAAACTGTCCTCTCTACGCCTGGCTGTCTGCTGTCTCGTTTAGGCCCCAGTTCCTCTCAGATCCCCCAGCTTCCCTCAGGGTCCAGCCCTCGCTAAGTCCACTCTGCCTAAGCCTTTACCTCCCTCTCTCAGTCCAGAGCCCTGGGCAGGCCCTCTCTGGTGCAGGCAGATTCCCGCAGGTAGGGAAGTCACTGGCGGATGGTCCCATCACCGCCTCCCCCGATGGAGGCTCAGACAGTCCTGTGGAGCTGGGTCCTAGCCTTGGAGGACTCCCAGGCCCCCTTGATTGCGCCCCACAATTCCCAGGGTCAGGGTCATTACCGCCATTTCACTAGGCCTCTGTCCAAGGTGAATGAAAGTGGGTAGGTGTGAACCAGAGTCTGCCCAGAGCCGCAGACCCCATGCCGAGCTCCAGGGGTTTCCCTGGGCAGGACCCAGTCATTTGCACCGCCACAGCCTGTCACCCCTTCCCACCACACAGCATTTGCCACATCCTACGAGAAATAAAAATTTGTCTTCTTTATTTAAAAAGTGGCAATCAGGCAAGTAGTATGTGCAGCCTCCCTGTGGCTTGAGGGCTTGGGGGTGGGTTGTAGGACCTTAATTCTTGAGCCAGTCAAGAAATAGTAGTGATTCATCCTTTGAATTGCAGCACCAAGCACTGATGCTGAGAAAGAATCCTGGGGGGTCCCCAACCCACCCAGTCACTTCTTAGTGTGTAGAGACACTGTCTACGGGGTCAGAGGCTACAGCTAAGACTTGCTCTCCCCCCCCCCCACAGACTGCAGCCGGATCTCCCAGCTGCAGGGTAGAACCTTGTATGCAGGAGGGTGTGTTTGGGCTCATGAAGCAGTAGAAAGGCCCAGAGATTCGTCAGGAAGCCTCAGCCCTGCCAGGCTTGGCCTGGGGCACTGGCAGTGGCAGAGTTGGTGTTCATTAGACCGAGTCTCTATGGCAGACTTGGTCACAATGCCCAGAGGAAGGCCGAGGGCGCATGACATCTGCCCTGCTGGCACGGCCAGACCATGTGGGCACACTTGCTCACTGGGCCTTCAGCGGGGAAGGCCCCAGAGGCGCCAGGTCTCGGTCTGCATCCCGGGCGGGGGCAGGGCTGGGCTGGCCTGGCCGCAGCGCCCTCGGCAGGCAGTGGCTGATGAAGAAGGTCTGCAGGAAGCGGCGCCGCAGCCCCTCGGGCAGGTAGTAGTGGATGAAATACATGAGCCTCAGGCCACGGCCTGGGTAGTAGCGGCGGCGTGGCTGGGCTGCCAGCAGCGCGTCGGTGATGGCATCTACCACGGGGCTGAGGTCCGGCATGGCCAGGCTGAGCGAATGCAGGAACTGCCCGTGCAAGTGCTCAATGTAGTCCTCGCCATAGGCCTGCAGCAGCTCTCGGGGCAGGCTGGCCATCAGGCGCTGCTTGCGCTGTTCCCAGTGGCCCACGTTTTTCACCGACTCTGGGGAAGGAGTGGCGAGGTCAGAGGGGGCTTGGCTGTGAGGTCAGCTAAAGAAGGCTAAGTCAGAGCCACCACTGGCTTCCCGGCTCCAGCCGAAGCCATGCCCACCCCTCAGACCTGACCACCCCCCCGGAGGACACCACGCCACCCCTCTGTCCCAGCCTTCGGCCCCACCCACGCATCACCCAACACTGAGCCCTACCAGTCTTGAAGCAACCGGGCTGGATCACGCTGACCTTGACCCCCCAGGGCAGAAGTTCACAGCTGAATGTATCCATGAGCAGCACCATGGCAGCTTTGGAGGCCCCGTAGGCTGCCAGGCATGGATACGGCATGTCTCCTGGAGGTGGACAGGGCAGGGCGGCTCAGCCTGGGCCGGGGCCTCCAGTGCTCCCCCCAGTCCCAGCGCGGCTCCTCTTCTGCCCGTCAGGGAGGGCACTCACCTGCTGGGCTGCCCACCGTGACAATGCGACCCCTTGAACGGCGCAGCAGTGGCAAGAGGCCCTTGGTCAGCTCGAGCGTGCCGAAGAAATTCACCTCCATGCAGGTGCGGAATGTGGCCACTGGCGACAGCTCCACGTCGGCCACGACATCATTGTGTCCGGCATTGTTGACCAGGCCCCACAGGCCTGCGGATGCGAAGCAGGGGCGGGAGCCGGCGAGTGGGTCAGCCCCCAGCAAAGCTCCAGCCCGTGCCCACATGTAGCCACACCCCCACACGCCCCCTGACCTGTGCTGGTGGTGTGGGCCTTGGTGAATTCCAGGACCCGGTTGATGTCCGCCGGCTTGGTCAGGTCCATTTGGAGCAGGCTCAGGCGAGACGAACAGCAGGCGCGTAGCTCCAGGGCACCTGGGCTATCCAACCCCAAAACGGTGGCCAGCACCGTGAAGCCCATGGCGTCTAGCTTCTTAGCTGTTTCCTTGCCAAAACCAGAGTCACAGCCTGGGCAGGGGCGGAAGAGTCAAGAACAGTGTGGCCCAGCCGACCCCAGGATCACCAGCCTAAGACACTGTCGGGATTACCAGGGCCTGGACAGGAGCCAGGCCCCTGGACACCCAACCTACCGGCAGTAGCCATCTCTGACAGGCTTTGCCCTCTGGCTGAGCACCTGGGCACCTCACAGCTGCCATCTCTGCCTCCCCGCGGCCGCTCCATCGACAAGGCCTATGATTCCCACTTTACAGATGAGGAAACGGAGACCTAGTAGTGATAAGTTGCTTCCAGTCAGTCAGCCAAGAAGAAGGCCTGTCCTATGGTAGGTCCGCCTGAGACCAGTCCCAGACCCGCTGTCCCTCTGCCTGCTTGACTTCAGCGCTCCAGGCTTGGGTTACTTTCTTTCTCGCTGTCCTTATCCTTGCTCCTTCCTGTTACCTGGACACTGAAGCAGCCCTGGAGTGAGTTAGCCCTATCCCCCTTCCGGTCCCTTGAATCCATTCTCTACCTAAGCAGCCAGAGTCAGCTTCCAGAAGGACAGTATCACCCTGCTGCTCAGCCTCTCCCCAGGCTCCCTGCCCCCCACCCCCCAAAGGAAGCCCCTACCCTGGGCTAGAGTTCGCTGCTCCCATCATCCCGCCTGGTAGGACTGGAGCCCACCTCCCTCCTCCGCCCTCTGCTGTTGCTCTGGGATCCAGGCAAGCTGAAAGCCCACCCCCACCTCACCTCTGACCTCCACCCCTGGAATTCTGGCCCGTGGCAACCATGGGGCATTCGCTGTGGCCCAGACCACGTGTCCCTGGCACAGGATGGTGGATAAAGAGAGCAGACCTGCATTTAAACCCCATCCCCCACCCCCCAGGGCAACCTGAAGTCAGTTACCACTCTGGGAGGCATCATTTCCTATCCAAGTACTAGCCAGCCCCAGCCCTGTTTAGCTTCCAAGATCAGGCGCTCAGGGTGGTATGGCCCAGACTCGAGCACTGGAGGCTTAATTTCCTTTCCTTGGTATGTAGTGAGGAGCCCCCAGGCAGAGCCAGAGTGGGGACTGATAAGCTCCTGCTTCCTTGATTGTTCCCATTTTGATCCTGACTCTGTGGGCGGCCAGAGAGGGGAGAAGGAGGGCCAGTGAGAGAGAAGTTTCTGGAGCCCACCCCCTCGGGTGGTCCTGTGAGCAGAAGCAGCAAAGCAGCACCCCTCCCCCTCTGCCGAGGCAGAGAACAAAGCTGAGCAGGGGGCTCTAAGCTGGGCTTTGTGGGGCTGGGGACTTGCCAGCCCGCCAGCCAGCCAGCCAGGGGCTCAGGGGTCCTTCCCCCCCCCCCCCCGCAAGTCTGGCTGGGGGAGGGGAGTGAGCACGTATGTATGTACGTACGTGTGCATGTGCACGTGTGTGTGCGTGTGTGTGTGTCTCCAAATGCCTAAGTTTCCTCCAGAGTAGACAGGACCTTCACAGGGAAACTGAGGCCTTCCAGGCCCTCAGTTGTGGCCCCAGTATAGTCACCCACGCTTGGCACATCCCTTAGCTCACCTGCACACACTCAGATACCTGTACATGCCTCCACCCTGCCTGCATGTTCACATACCCCTGCTACCCACAGGGCCTGCAAGGCACCCAGCCACCCAGCCCAAACCCTGACCAGGGGGAGCTGAGCTCCAGGAGTAGCCCTCACCAGCAGCTCTCAGAGGCCATCTCAGGAGGGGTCCATGGCAGGTCATCTGGCAGCCACAGAAAGTGTCCTGGCAGGTGGGCAGCGTCTAGCCATCTACTTGTTCTATATTCTGGTGCTGGGAGAAGAATCCCTATCTGAGAGCCGGGAGGTTTACTCCTTACGCTCACACTGGGTGGGCTGGGCTGCCTCCTCCCCAGCCCTGTCTAAGCCTGGAGCTGGGGGAGCCCCCGTCCCAGAAGGGGTGCCTCCTCTCACCTCAGATTCAAAGTTATAGAAGTAGCCTGTGGCGAGAGCGCAGGGGAGGCTGCCCTGTGTCCTGTACCTGCAGTGGCCTGCAGCCCAGAGAGGCAGCCCACGTATTAGGCAGGCCGAGGGGAGTTGCCCACCAACCTGTCCTTGTCTCCTAACAGGTGAATTTTTCATCTTTCCTTCCTCAGACCCCTGGCACTGGAGCTCTGTGAGGCTTCACACTCTGCCCCTAAAACTTGAGTCTGTCCCATTCAGCCTGAGCCAGAGTCTGTCCCATCTGCGCTGAGACCCAAAGCCCTGGTGCCACCTCGTGTCCCTCCTCATCTTAGCAGTCAGCCTGGCATTCAAGGCCCCTCCTGAGGAAACCACGGCACATCCCACCACCCCCAGCTGCCAGACTGGTTTCCTGCCTGTCCCCTACCCAGGCCATGGTTATTCCAAACCTGCTGTCTGGTCTGAAACACCTTCCCCGCTTCACCTATGTCCACTCATCCTCTGAGGCCCAGCACAAGGACAGTCTCCTCTGGGAAGTTCACCCAGCTTCATGCGATCTTGCAGGGCCCCCTACTGGACCGAAAGCCTCTGAGGAAAGGCTGCCCCCAGTACAAGCCCAAGGCAAAGGCAGAGCTAGGAGGCACCTGTCCAAAACTGTGAGGGCTGGGGGAGAAGAGATGGCCCCTCCCCCATGCAACAGAGCTGTGCCCCCTGGCCTTTCTCCCCCTCCCCACTTCCGGCTGAGCCTCAGCCCCCCTTCCCTTTCCCTCATTCTGGTGACAGATTTATTCCCTGCACCAGACAAAGAGCTCAGCCAGCGGCCTGGGGCACCTGAGCCCAGCTCCCTGAGACCTCCTTCCAGGGCACTGGGGAACAGAAGGGGTGGGGGTGGGGTGCTGGGTGCACATTCCAGACCACCCCGCAGCGGTCTGGGGGCTGAGAGGTGGTGTATGAGGGCAGCCGAATGCCCTGCTGCTTCTCATGCTGACCTAAGCTTGTCTGAACTGCATGGAGACCCAACAGCTTGGGGGCAGGATCCCAACTCCCCAGGTAAGCGCTGGCTCTGGTGCCAGCAAAGAGGAGGTAGTGCGCCCGCCTGGGGTGTTAGGCAGAGTTTAAGGAGTGATCATCCCCCTGTCTCAAGTCCTCTGGCGACCCTCAGAGCATTGCCCGCTGTCCAAAAACTGCCCTCTGGGAGAGGGGCATAGCATAACCCCCAGGCTCGGCAGTGTCCCTCTTTCTCCGCCACCAGCTCCCTCTGCGCACTGCCCACTCCCTTTCCCTCCAACACTTCCCGCAGCGACAGGTAGTTAGCCGCGACTCAGCCAGGCGCCCGGAGGTTCCCACTTAGCTGGCTCGCTGCACCCAGGAAGGAGCGGAGGGCTCTCCGACTCCCGAGGAGGGGGTCCCGCCTGGCCTTGACCAGCCCAGCCCTCGGGTGTCCGGCCCAGCCCTCCAGCCTGCAG